TGCCTTGACGCCTCCCTTCTGCAAGTCCCCTCCCAATGGAGCTATCCTGCAGGACCTAGGTTCCCTAGGGCTGGGTTTCTCCAGCCCCAGAACCAGATGAACACACCCACACACATTAACAGAGCAAGTCTGAGCAGACTGGGTCAATCAGCAGTGTCAAGCTGACCCCTTATATGTCTCCGGACTCACTGGGCTGGATGAAGCAGCACTTTCAAGCTGCCTCTCCTTATATGCCCCTGGGCTCCATGGACTGGGTCAAGCAGCACTTTCAAGCTGTTACCCTTATGTGTCCCAGATTCAGCACATCCCTATCCCCACTCTCTCATCACAATTGTACTGGCAGTAACCTACTTGATGAGCAAACCCCACAGTATTTTGGGCGCTGCAGGGATCTTTAGCTTAGGTAAAAGAAGCATTGCTGTAGAGTGAATGGGGGAAGCTAAAAACACAAAAGAGTAAAGTTCAGCAAGAGAGATAGAGAGAGAGAAGCAACCAACTTAACCATAAAAGTTATTTATTAAATAATAGTGATAACTACACAAGGAGGGCTAAACCAACATAACATACATGATTAAAAGGTTAATATCTAAGGTAGAAAGGAAAGGGGGGGGGAGAAGATCTCACGCACTCCATGAGGCTTGAACTGGTCAGGGTTCCCAGGTGATAGTGGTAGCTCAGGGTCCTGAATGCTGGAGACAGGCAGATCCCCCAGCACAATCAGTCAGGAGAAGATGGAGTCCCAGTGGAACTGATGCAGAGTTTGGATCTAAGCATCAGAACACTTATTGGAGGGTGAATAGGAATTTTTGTAGAGAAAACAACACTAGATTTGTTTCTAGGTAAACTGATGACTCAAGGGTTTTCTTTAGGCTAGACAATAGGATCTGATCACTCTTGGCTATGGGTGGTGTTTTCTTCCAGGGAGCTCACAATGCAACTAGGCTGCTTCAGGATTTTGGATATCAATCAAGGATTCCTTACTAGAATTGGTCTGATAACTGCTGAGCTGAGTGTGGGCAGGCATAGGTTCATTAACATCTGGAGCAGAGATTCCCATGATGCAGTGCGTCCCTGCTTTTCTGGTCCCAGAGTTCAGTGCGGTTCTCTGTTCTCCATTCTGTATGCAAATTGAGAGGTCTCCCTGTCCCATCTTTCATGCAGATGAGGCTAGGGGAGTTGTCTCTGTTCTTCATTCTGTACACAAATGAGATGTCTTAATCTTGTCACCCTTGTGAGGAGGGATCTAGGTGTGTCTCCCAATGCCCTTCACTGCTCTCTGCAAGTTTTTTCCTCTGATGGATTTTGGTTTAAGCAGAGGCTGGGGGGGTAGGGGGGTGTCTTTCATGAGTCAGGCTGGATACTGCACCCTGGTTCCCCAAGAATACAGGGCTGACTGG